GGGTTGCTGCTGCTGCTACTTTTAGACACAGCAGGCAAACCTGTGGCAAGCCGGGCGATGGGAAAGAAGGAGAAGACCATGAGAAAAAGAGAGCAGAGAAAGTGTGGACTGCTGGAAGAACTGCGGTGAACTGGTGAAAGAAAAGTGAAATGGCGTGCTCAAAGATGACCCTGCACATTTAGAGGATGTTTGGCTCAACCTGCTGCTGTGAAGCAGGATTCTCCACCATGAACAGAATCAACAATAAATCTGGATCCAGGCTCAAAATGAGCTCCTTGATATGTGCTTGAGAATGGCTTAGTCTCCGGTTAAACCCAGGTTTAAAGCCTTGCAGGGCAGCCTAAAGCCCACTGCCAACATTAAGACAGAAAAAAGAAAGAAAAGAACAAACCATCAGTTCAGGGGTTTGAGAAAATATGGGAATCAGGAAATTGTCTTCATAAAAACATTTTAAAATGAAAACATTTTCTATTTTTTTTCTATTTTTTTATTTATAAATTCAATGTATAACATTGATGCATAACCACCTCATTTTATTTCAGTGTTAAATTCTGTTTAAAGTAACAGATTATAATTAAAAATGCCTCTGGACCTTTATTGGTTGATTTTCCTTATTCGGACCCTTGCTGTTTTTTCATTGGTTACCGCTGGCCCAGGTGATGAGGCTGATGATCTGCTCATGTGTGGAGAAGCAGGAGCAGCTAATGAGTCCCGCCCACCTGCAAATTCCAGACTCGCTCTGCTGGAAAAATCTGAAGGATCAACAACAAACCCTCAATCTCAAAAAGTTCCAGACAAACCAATTTGGCCATTAAGGTTTTTCACAAATAAAGGTATAATAAATGTGTTTAAAATAATTTCCTCTTCATTTTGTGTAGAATTTTGCAATTATGGTTGGATCTCTCAGCTCATTTTGCGTTTAGAAAGCTAGTTTAAAGGGTTAGCATTGGGTTTTATTGAAATTTAATTATATCCCCATTACTTGATTGATGATTACTAAGTAGAGAAGATAACATTATTAGCATCACATGCAGGGCCGGCGATAGCTATAGGCGAGCTAGGCAATTGCCTAGGGCGACAAATGTGTTGGGGGCGCCCTCTAGCGTCGCCCTTAGGCTTACTTCCCATTAATCATAGAATTAGAAAAAAAAAAGCAAATTAAACCGGTTATGAAGCGTCCGTCAGTTTGACTTAACCTTACGTATATGTAAATAGCAAAATATGAACAAATAAATATACCACCGTTTTTTTATTTATTTTTTCACATTTAAGAGAAAATCGAAAAAGATTCTGATCACTTTTCAAGCGCCCTCCAACCCGGAAGTCGTGACGTCAATCACTGCAGCATGTACACCAATATTTTGGAATGAAATTGTAAGCAAACAGATATTAAAAGTAAAACAAGTGAAGTCTGGCACTTAACTTTGCTCGCGACTCGAGAATGGCTGAACGGAAAAGACTCCTCCTCCTGCCGCCGCAGTCGGGCCCGTCTTAATCATCCACTCAGAGTACCACTGGTGAGCGCACACAGACTTTGTAGCTTGTCCGGTCAGTTAAAAATATTAATTGTGAAATCCGTCTTGTAATCGGATGCATACAAGCTAGTTAGCTTGAAAAGTAAATAAAGTTTCAGACGTGCTGCATGATGATGTGTTCAGATTGGCTCAGTAAAACGACAATTAGGTTATCATGATGCGTTCAAGTGTAACGTAAAGAAAACGGGAAATTTTGTTTTTGGCGAGAAACATGAGTAATACAGTTGTATATTGCTCTATATATAATTAAACTACTGATGCCAACATTTATTAAAAATTACATTTAATATAAAATACAATTATTTATTTGTTAAATATTTTCCTAATCACTAAAAACATGAAAAAGTGTCAGTAGACAATACATTAACCAACAATTGTGAAAATATATTCTAGTTAGTTTTATGTCATTTCGAAGTGGCCTATTACATTAGCCATGTTTATTGAAGGCTAGAAACGTTTTTGTTATGCTCACTTGTTAAGCAATAGAAGCAATACCAGTTCTGTTAATAAAATTTTGTTGCATCGTCTTTCCACCAAATAACAGAAAAGTATTGATAGTGGTATCGATAAAGACTCGGATCGATAAGGAGTATCGATAAAGGTATCGATATCAATAAATATTAACGATCCCCATCCCTAATGTTGACATCATTTTTTTCTCAGTATATATGCAGCAGAATTATGTGCTATATTATTAGCTTGAGAATGGGTAGAAGATACTAATATAAATAAAATATTTTGTAGTGATTATCTGCATTGAGTATTCAAAAGGGATGTACAAATAATCATCAAAATATATGAAGTTATGGCTGTTCATCATAGAATATGTGAACAAAAAAAAAACAACAACTTCAAACTTTTAATTTTGTAATGGTATTCATAAAAGCACTTTTGTTTGTAGAGGGTTAATCCTTTCTTTAATCACTAATCAATGTCAGAAATCAGGGTAAATATACCTGATATATTTTATTTAGAGGAAATTTTTGTTTATCTCATTTCTATTTATGTTCAAATGATTTAATTGAACTGGAACAGAAAATTTAATTTAATGTTTATCAATTACTTTTTCATGTAGTCCTTGGTTGAAGAATTTCTTAAATTTATAATTTTTTATTGTTATTTGGTCATTTCTGAAATTGATTTATTTAATATTTGTTTAATGTGTGTTAAATTTGTTAATTGTCTGAAATAAATTCATTCAATGATTCAATCCAGTTTTTTAGTTATACTTTACCTAAGTGTCCTTACAGATGGTTAAAAGTGTTTCTGCACAGTGCTAACTTTGAGTGTGTAATAAATTATTTAAAATAATAAAAAAGAAAAGGTACTGAAACCTATTCTGGTATTTGTCTATGCATCACTCCATGCTAAGTTACAGTTTTTTCTGAATGCTTAAACACAACCTTGATTCTTATAGCACAATTTCTAAAACTATTAATACTTATAGCAAATCCACTCACTGAGTTCACAAAACTAAAAGAACAAACACTGCTTTGCACTCAATTTGCAATTTTGTAACACACACTTTGCACAACTGTAGGCACAATTCACCGCACAGCACTCTTTGTGGAACTGTAAACACAATTCAATGAAGCACTAAACAGATGCTGAAAACAGTACTGGTATTTCGCACGGCAACAGTGAGGGAGGGGGGGGGGGGGGGGGGCGCAAAACTCAATCTCGCCTAGGGCAACCAAAGGGCTAGAACCGGCCCTGATCACATGTAAGAAGTTGAGGTAGTGGAGGACGATAAATACCTGGACCTGTATTTACTTAGATAACAGACTCAGACAGAGCCGACTGTACTTTTTGCAGAAGTATAGATCTATCAGTGTGTAAAATAGCCTCATCCGTGCCATTTTAAATGAGTTTCTAGTGGACTCAAAATTTCCCACAATGCACCTTGAAAATTAGTGATCATCCACGGTCACTAGACGAACACATATATCCCACAATGCTTTGTGAGGAGAGCTCTCCTCGCTACCCGACCGTGGTGACTAATAAACATGGTGCCGGAACCCTGTGGGGAGGTGCGTCATGTGACCAATACTGTACTGCACCTGGAGAAAAAATAACCAATATCCAGCTATGGACATTTTAACATTAATTTGAGATTAGCAGCAACATCAGAGATGTGCAGAATGACAGCAGCAGGTTATTTAACTGACTAAGATAGAAACTGTGTAACATCATCATGAATGGAAGAACTGGTTGAGGTTGATGGGAACAGTGGTGGTTCTAGAGTCTTCCAGCTGCTGGGAGGAAGGATCTGTGATAACGCTCCCTGGTGCATTTAAGGTGCAGCAGGCTGTCACTGAAGGAGCTGTCCAGTTCAGCACCAGCTTCATGCATGAGGGGGGGGATGTTCATTTAGTTAGGATCCGTCTGTTTCCCACCTCCTGCTCTGAGTCCAGAGGGCATCCAATCACAGCTGGCCTTCCTGATCAGCTGATCCAGCCGCTTCCTCTCAGCTCCAGATGAGCCGCTGCTCCAACAGACAGCTCCATAGAAGATGGCTGATGCTACAGCAGAGTCAGAGAAGGTCTTTAGGAACACCCCCCCCTGCAGTCTCCTCAGCAGGAAGAGTCTCTGACCTTCCTGATCCAGAGCCTCAGTGTTGAAAGTCCACCACTAGCCCCTTGGTTTCTCCTGCATTCATAAGAAGGTGGTTCTGCTGGAACCAGACCACCAAGTTTTGGGTCCCCTGTCTGTCCTCTGAATCGTCTCCACCTGTGATGAGGCCAACTATGGCAGAATGGTCAGAGAAGGTCTGGAGGACGTCAGTTCTTCCAAGTCTTTCCTTCTGCTAAATAGAAACTTTTTAAATCACACTTTATAGATGCACCTGGTTTATATCAGACAGGTAATTTTAGGCAGGTTCATGCTAACAGCCTTTAGGGGCTAAACCTGCTAGGAATGACAGACTGCAGCACAAACATCCAGCTGATTGGTATCAGCTGATCAAACCTGTTCTTTATGTTTCATAACCAGCTGATTGGTTTTATACTGTATTCTATCTGGGTATGATCTTTAAAAGCATCTTTACAAAGTGACTGATTTTATTGTTGGAATTAATTTAGACTTTTTCAGTTTACCTGCCGTTAAGCTTATAAAGGGGTTCTAGTCACGTACTGATATAAAACCGCATCATGGAATAAAACAATGTTCTTCTTCTTTGTAGACTGTACTTAGTCCTTTTCAGCATGAACATATTTTTTACACTATTTTCTCTTTCTATGGTATAAATACTTTAAAATAAGATTTTTTTTTTGACAAACAGAATAACAATAAAGTGTGGATCACAGAAATAAAATATGATTAGCCAACAGGTCTCCATCATTTACTGAGAGAGTCGATATTGGTACGGTCACAGTACGTAACTAGGCCCCTTTAACACAGTAACTTTGACTAATATACTGACGAATGCATGATTATCATGTATGTGACGAGTTTGTTTTGTTGCAG